ACGTTACAATAAAAGTTATAAAGTATAATAAATTTCAACTGACTAACTATCCTAAGAAAATACATATATTTATAATAAGCTGAAAAGCAGAATAAGCATTTTAAATGAGGACTCAGCAAATAGACGTGATATAACTCACGTAAATCGGTGCGTAAAAACTGATTTATTTATTCCGGTATACAGGGTGGAATTTTTAAATGGAATAAAATTAGTATCAGAAAGCCTGTTTGTTTTCTGAAAAAATTTTAAAAAAATCGGGTCCCTTTATCTTTAGTTTGGCACATTTTTTCGGCCTTTTCATGGAATTTACCCCCCGCTTAAGGGTAGTAACCTCCCCCAACTTTTTTTTTCAAATGTTAAGATATGTATTGTGATAGCTCGATGGAATGAGCATAAAAAAAAGGAATATAACCCATTATTTTCTTTTGCATTTCGGTGATCTAGTTATGTAATTATTTTTGACATTAACGCACTATTTTAGGGTTGAGAATCCGAGTATCAGGCATCAAAAATAATGCGTTAACGTCAGAAATAATTACATAACGTTACTAATGAGGCTTGTTTCGCATTAGGGTTCTACCAAGAAGAAATGCTGAAGATATTCAACAATTTTAACTGTAAAAAAATTGTGTGGAAAAATATGTTTTAATTTTTTTCTCGCTTTCTAGATCACTGAAATGCAATAGTAAATAATGGGTCATGTTCCTTTTTTTATGCCCATTCCAACGAACTATCACAATACATATCTTTACACTTGAAAAAAAAATAGCTGGGGGGTGGTTTCTACCCTTAAGAGGGTTAAATTCCATGAAAAGGCCGAAAAATTGTGCCAAACTAAAAATAAAGGAACCCTTTTTTTATTTTTCCAGAAAATAAACAGGATATCTGATACTAATTTTATTCCATTTAAAAATTCCACCCTGTATATATATACTTGATAACGGCCCGGTTCATTCTTCTTCAAATAAACTTGCTGGTAACTATATGGAAGATAGATAAATTTACCGTTCTATAATGCTATTGGTTGGTGGATAACTGGCCGACCAATAGGGCTGCCAACCGTCATTTATTTCAAAGGACAGTCCTTATTTATTTTAAACTAATGTCCTTTGTCCTTTTGAAAGGTGACAAAGGACGACAATAAATTTCCTTTAAAATCCGGAAATATAAATAAATGATCGATTTTTTTAAAAAATTCCCATGCTATACTATAAACATAAACCATACACCATCATCGACAACATAGTTTATTTTTAAGCTAAGACTTCAATGTAAAGTTGGCAGCATTGGAAAAAATTTGGTAAATCCCCGAGCTCCGATTTTGGACACGTTTTATCCTGTATACCAAGGTCTATTTGTGCAGAAATTACTAACTAATCAAAGTGAATCCCATTACATTTTTGACCTCGAATTCCACTCATTTTTGACCACGAATTTTATTTATTTTTGATCCCGAATTTTACTAATTGTTGACCGAGAATTTTACTCACTTTTTACTAATTTTCAACAGAGTATTTTTTGACAGGATAATTTCACTGAATTTTGCATGAAAATTTTACTCATATTTTACCGAAGAATTTTACTCATTATTCACCTCGGATTTTACTCATTTTTGACCACGAATTTTATTAATTGATCACGAATTTTATTAATTTTTGACCGGGAATTTCACACACTTTTTACTGATTTTTGACAGGGATTTTTTTCGATAAGAGAATTTTACTAATTTTTTACCGGGAATTTTTATACTGTAGACATTCATTATTGACTGCGAATTTCACTTCATTTTTACTCATTTTTGACAGAGATTATTTTTCACCAAAGAATTTTACTTATTGTGAATTTTGACCGGGAATTTTACTCATTTTACTGAAGTACTTGACTCATTTTCAATCGAAAATTTTACTCAGTTTTACTCAGTTTGGACTGTAGACCCACGTTCTATGATTTTTTGTGAATTTTTATGATTTTTGGAAATTTTCATGATTTTTTGTGAATGTTTATGATTTTTGAAAATTTTTATGATTTTTGTGAATTTTTATATTTTTTGAAATTTTCATGATTTTTGTGATTTTTTTGTTTTATGATTTTCGGGATTTTTCTAATTTTCCTGATATTCTTAATTTCTATTGTTTTCTCGAATTTTTGTAATCTTTTGTAATTTTTTTAAATTTTTATGATTTTTGTAAATATTTATGATTTTTGTAAATATTCATGATTTTTGATTTTCATAAACTATAATTTTTTGTGAATTTTTATGATTTTGGTAAATTTTTATGATTATCGTGATTTTTGTAATTTTACTAATTTTCCATGACTTTTTCGAATTATTGTAATTTTTTGTAATTTTCTTAAATTTTTATGATTTTTGTAAATTTTCAATATTTTTAATTTTTTATGATTTTTGTGATTTTAAATTTTTTTTATGAATTTCATGATTTTTATAATTTTCCTGATTTTCTTAATTTCTACGATTTTTTTGAATTATTGTAATCTTTTGCAATTTTCTTAAATTTTTATGATGTTTGTAAATTTTCGCATAAAATTCTAGGGGTATGATATAAAATTGCAAAGAAATTATGTTGAATGCTGAAGAATTTATAAGCAATTTCAAAAAATTACATAAAATTGCAGAAAAAAAAATGAGCGGTGAAATCACGCAAAAATTTAGGAAAGAAACGTACCAGGGATCGACCGATACCGATATGGCATATCGGTATATCGTTCACAGAATCCAGAAATGTCATAATATACAGGGGGAGTCATTTAAAAAACATAACTTTGTGTCACTACTAGTTATTGGGCCATCCTGTATACTAGAAAATAATTTAGGAATGTAGTACTCATGTTTATCTATAAGTGTTGTATTTAATTTTTTCTTCGATCTCTGTTAGTATAGGAGATATGAACCACCGCGCGCTTAGTAACTCACCCTGTATAATGAAGTACTATTTAATTACATAGGTACAAGTAGTATTTATTACAATTTCACCGAAGTACTTGACTCATTTTCAATCGAAAATTTTACTGAATTTTGAACGGGAATTTTACTCAAATTTTACCGGAGAATTTTACTCATTTTTGATCACGAATTTCATTAATTTTTGATCGCGAATTTTATTAATTTTTGACCAGGAATTTTACTCACTTTTCACTGTAGACCCACTTTCTATGATTTTTTGTGAATTTTTATGATTTTTGGAAATTTTCATGATTTTTTTGTGAATGTTTATGATTTTTGGAAATTTTCATGATTTTTGTGAACTTTTATATTTTTTGAAATTTTCATGATTTTTTTGTTTTATGATTTTCGGGATTTTTCTAATTTTCCTGATATTCTTAATTTCTATTGTTTTCTCGAATTTTTGTAATATTTTGTAATTTTTTTAAATTTTTATGATTTTTGTAAATATTCATGATTTTCATAAACTATGATTTTTTGTGAATTTTTATGATTTTTGTAAATTTTTATGATTATCGTGATTTTTGTAATTTTCCTAATTTTCTAAATTTCCATGACTTTTTCGAATTATTGTAATTTTTTGTAATTTTCTTAAATTTTTATGATTTTTGTAAATTTTCAATATTTTTAATTTTTATAAATTTTTATGATTTTTGTGATTTTAGTAAATTTTTATGATTTTCATGATTTTTTTATTTTCTTAATTTCTATGATTTTTTTGAATTATTGTAATCTTTTGCAATTTTCCTAAATTTTTATGATGTTTGTAAATTTTCGCATAAAATTCTAGGGGCATGATATAAAATTGCAAAGAAATTATGTTGAATGCTGAAGAATTTATAAGCAATTTCAAAAAATTACATAAAATTGCAAAAAAAAATGAGCGGTGAAATCACGCAAAAATTAAGGAAAGAAAAGTACTACAAATTCCATTGAAAACATGAAATTCCTCTGGAATTACATGAAATTCTAGCAGAAAAAAAGTGAAATTCCCAAAAAATTCCATTTATTTTTATAAAAAAATTAAATTCAATTTTCATGATCGACTTATTGAACGGGTAAATTGCTGCAGAGGTTCAAAAGTGAGTAGACCTTTGCATCAATTCACTCATTATTGAATTGTTGAATAACATCTCTACCATCATTCAAAAACATTCACTGCAGGGCAGACATCCGGTGTCCGCTACGTGGCCGACACATCACACCAGGGCGGACACCGATGTCTTGCCAAATTCGTAAATCGACTTTATCCTCTATTCTGTCCACCATGAGCCATTTTCAAGAGCGGACACCGGAGTCCGCCACGTTGTAAAAATCCGGAAAACAACTTTATCCGCTATCGTATCCGTCAAGGCGCGGTTTTCAGAACAGACACCAATGTCCGCCAAATTCGAAAATCTATTCCACTCGGTATTGTGTCCACTATGGCGCATTTTCAAGAGCGGACGCCGGTGTCCGCCAAATTCGACAATCGACTTTATCCTTTATTGTGTCCGCTATAACGTATTTTCAAAAGTGGACACTATGGTGTCTGATGTAGCAAATCTCAGCAGCACATTGGCGTTCACTTGTCCCACATAAAAACTCATAAAGCAGCTCCTAGCAGGTCTTCCTGAATTTTCGAGGAGGTAGCGAGTATAAATGGACAGCCTAAATGCAATAAACTGAAAGTGTCTGTTTTTTATGAAAAAAATATGGTAGAAGCACCCTTGGTAGAGTGCTCAAAAAATTTCCAAAATGTGTCGTTTATTTGAATAAATGAAAAATGAAAGTTGGCAACCCTACCGACCAATGAGATTACAGATTCGTTTGATTGCATACCTGACAGTTAAGTAGACGTTGAATAAACCAGCCCTGACGAGAATACATGTGGTACAATTCCAAAAATTAAACCTTTTCTGGTATTAAACTTTTAGCTCCATTTGAAGTCAAATTTCTTTTCTGATGCAGTTTTTGCTAAACAATTCCCAATCACTAACACTAGACGAAAGCCAGGTTTCAGTTAATATGTCATAATTAGCAACAAATAAACTCAATATAAATTGGTAAACATCGTTTATTATTAAGTATGCCCTGTAGGGAGTTTATTTATATAAAAATTATATTGACAACTTAGGGATTAGAATATAAATGTAGAAAAGGCCTATTATTAGCAACATTATCAAGAGGAACCAAATTCATTCATCCATTTTTCAAATTTGTTTAAATCTTCTTTTGAGACACTTTTATTATTTTTAGCAATAGCTTCATGGAAATCCTTTGCAGTTACAGGCAGATCTAATTCTTCTCTCGGTAGCTGCTTGATTTGATCAGGCCTTAATCCACATATTTTCCGTCTCATTGACATCATCGAAGCGTCACGGCAAACATTAGTGACATCAGCGCCCGAATATCCATCCAATTTACAGGCAATTCTTGTAAGATCTACATCAGGATCCAACTTAACTTCTTTCAAGTTAATTTTCAATAGCGCCTCTCTACCTTGTCGAGTTGGCAACGGTATATAAATTCTTTTTTCTAGTCTTCGTCTCAAGGCTTCATCGATGTCCCAAGGAAAATTTGTAGCTGCGAGAACCATAACAATCTTGCCCGGTTCGCCAGAGTTTGCTGTAATCCCATCCATTTGTACAAGTAATTCGGATTTAACTCTTCTGGATGCTTCGTGTTCTGATTCTGAACCTCTTCTGGAACATAGCGAATCGATTTCATCTATAAAAATAGTGCTGGGAGCATAAAAATGAGCCTGGAACAAACAAGTTAAAACTACTTATATTTACAAGATTTTAAATTACTATTACCATTTCAAAAAGAAGCCTGACCATCTTTTCAGATTCTCCTCTATATTTAGATGTCAAAGTTGAAGAAGATACATTAAAAAAAGTTGTTCCACATTCTGTGGCCACAGCTTTGGCCAACATAGTTTTACCAGTACCTGGTGGTCCGACCATCAACACACCTTTCCAAGGCCTTCGAATACCTGAAAAAATTACACATAATAGTTAAACAATAATAGTTCAATATAATAATGTACCAGTGAAAAATTCAGGCATCCACATAGGTAACACTACGGCTTCTTCCAATAATCTTTTGGCTTCATGTAAATCTGCAATATCGTCCCATCTTATATTAGGATTTTTTTGTACTATATCTCTTTCTAAAATATCAGCTAAGTCTCTTTCCATGCCGTTACATTCAAATTTCTTTTCTTCAGGCGATTCTTCTTTAATTTCGGATTTTATTGTTGGATCTGAATCAGTGGTACCTTCTGCATTTCTAAAAAGAATTATTTTATTTAAGTATGTATTCATACTTATATTCCAACTGAAACCAAAATAATAAGTTGTGAATGCGCCTTCACCTTACAGATAAAATAGAAATTTTGTATAGAGAACCCACCAATACTGGCAACAATGAATTAGTTAGAGTAACTCAATTGAGTTACTATGGAAAATAAACATTATTATACTGTCATGGAAATACAGGGGTGTAAACTAAAAATAAAAATTTCTGTATAACAAATTTTATCAACAATATTTCAAGCTGCACCATTTTATGCCTAACGGTTTTCGAGATATTCACAATACAACCGTTGGAGTGTAAGGTCTCACCGCTCAGATACCGTAAACTCAGACTCCAGGGTTGTCATACACAAAAATACATTTCAAAAACCCTGTGGATTTTTGAGACATGAACCCACCATCGATGTTGAGAAAAACCCAGTGGGCTTTGTACTTTTTGTGTCAAAAACTCACACACTCAAAACTTATTTCTACCATAGTGCCAAATATCAATCCAAAATTTAGTAAATAAATATTTGAAACTAAATTAAAATCTCAATTAACAGGTTTGTAGAAAATTTGATTGGCTTTAATTAGAGCTTAATTTTTTTTACATTTTCAATGTTCGATGATTTCAATTTTGAAGCTTCTCAGGTACAAAGCTGTTGAAACCCAATTAAAATATTAATTAACAGGTTTGTATACAATTTAATTGGCTTTTATAAGAGTCTAATACCGTTCAAATCGGATAGAAATTAACAGACCTGTGAGGCGAAAACTATCTCAGTGTCATTTTTGGCAAATTTTGAATGTTCGATAATTTCAATTTTGAAGTTGAAACAAAATATATTGTCTAGCTAAGTAAACACAAAAACACAAAAACTATCAAAATAACCCGCAAGAACCCAAAAACCCAATAGAAATTTTCCCTCTGTTCAAGCGAGTCAATTCTGAGTAACTCTTGTAGCGCTGTATAGTCCATTTGATCTTTTGGCATTTTTAATTAATTTAATTTGTAATTTATTATTCTTGAAAATCTACGTTGAATCTTCTCTAACATATCAATATACTTACTTTCCAAATTTGACTAGTAGTCGAAGAGACGAGCTCGAAAGTAAGACAATTTAGAGTAACAGTAAATAAACATTTTATTATTATGTATTTTGATGAGCTGAATCGATATATGCATAAATTTTAACTATTAGCCCGTGGCTTCAGGGAGGAACTCGCATTTAAATGGTCGAAATTCAAATATCTCGCGAATATTGTCTTTTAGTTCCAATTATTCAGCAATACGAGAATCACTTTCCCAGCCTAGGCCGGAAAAGTGTTTCCCGTATTGTTATTCATTGATACCTTTTCAACTATTGAAAAATAATTGAAATACCAGAATATTGAGTTTTGCGACCTGTCAACCGGTCAAAAATGCTGACATTTCTTGTCAATCGCAGAAAATAGTTATTTGTGTACCAAGGCCGTAAAGTTGATCTTTTTTGGCCGAATCAGAAATTTGCGGCCTCTTTCAGGTGAGGCCAAAGAAGATCATTCGGCCGAGGTGCACAGAAAATTTTTTAGGCGAGTGTTTGTTCTTGTTAAAAGACAAAAATTGAACAGTAGCTTTAAACTTTTATTAATCAAATAAATAATCCAGCAAAGACAGGTAGATTGGTAGATACATAATTATTAGTAACAAAAACTACGATAAAGGAAATGTGATTATAGAAAATAGCCGACTTTTTCACCTGGTATCCTACTGTTAACACATAAAAGCTTCAATAGCTCATTTTTACCCGAGAGGTTATGTAATAGAAAATAATTACGAAACACCGGGTTGTTCTTAATAAAAGTGGACTGTATTAACTTTTCAAAACATTACGATGACAATCGGCAATAAACAAAGTTACATTTTTTATTTATTGTCTGTATTTTGTGCAATAGCAATTTCTTGCTAATTAATTAAAATTTGGACGCGACTTCGCGACGCCGCTTCTTCAATACGGCGGGTAGCACAGTACCTATTTATGCGATAGCCAACTCACGACTCTTCCAGGAATTTATACAGAAATGGCGCTTCCCTTAAAATATCTAGGTGTGGACGAGTCCATTATTGGAATTTGGGGGGAAGAAGCATATTAAAAAACTTGTTCCTTCTTGTGGGTTTTTTTATGTTTTGGGAGAATTGATATTGCACCAATACTTGTAACCAATACAATAAGGATAGATTGCACCATAATATAAATAATAATATAAAAATCAGGAATAATTATTAGAAAATCCAACATACTCCCGCCTTGGGCATTTTCTGATGAAAAGTCCAATAAAAAATCAAATGAACGCACTGAGAAAAGCACTATTCACACCTTTTACTAAAACACTTATTATGAACTATCAACAAGTAACTCCTTAACCTAAGCTAGAAAATATAATAATATTATCAGTAATCAATAATTACATTAAGAATCGTCACAATCGGTTATAGGTTTATCATCAGGTAAAGGACATAATTTTGTAATGGACCTATAGAAAATTCCATCTTGGGTTTTAATTTTAACTAACCACACTTTGCCGTCTGGGCTGTGAGGTATCTCACTGATACGTGCCAAAGACCATTTGAGAGGTGGTAAATTGTCCTCTTTGACCAATACCACCTGATTGATTTTCAAATTCTGTGAAGGGTTGCACCACTTGGGTCGATGCTGCAGCCTATTTAAGTACTCCACAGACCACCTTTTCCAAAACTGTTGCTTGATTTTCACACATTTCTCATACATAGATAAACGATTATTGGAAACTTCAAGTAAATTTTTATCTGGATATGCAGCCAAGCTATCGCCAATCAAGAAATGACCTGGTGTTAATGGATTCAAATCAGACGAATCATTAGACAAAACACTCAAGGGTCTTGAATTTAAGATGCTCTCGATAGAAGTGAGTACAGTGCTAAACTCTTCAAAGTTTAATACTGTGTCACCAATAGTTCGTTTGATATGGTACTTGGCACTCTTAATCGCAGCCTCCCATATGCCCCCCCAATGAGGTGACCGTGGAGGTATAAATTTCTACTGGGTTTCATTTTGCGCGAGGAAATTTTCAATGGAATGAAAATTTTCCTTACTCTTAAAAAATTCATGAAGTTCCTTCAACTGGTTACTGGAGCCTAAAAAGTTTGTGGCATTGTCAGAGTAAATCACAGATGGATTACCTCGCCTACCTATAAATCTCTTAAGAGCAAGCAAAAAATGCTCGGTTGACAATCCTGTCACAAGTTCAATGTGCACGCATTTTGTTGCCATGCAAACAAAGATGGCAATGTATGCCTTGATTTTTGGAGCTCTGCGTAAATTAGAAGTTTTAAGTAAATAAAACCCACCAAAATCAACACCCACTCTTTGGAAAGGCCTCGAGATCGAAACTCTGTCCCTAGGTAAGTTACCCATCATTTGTTCAGCGCACTTTGCAGTAAAGCGAAAACATGTTATACAATTATGAATAATTCGTTTGACTGACCTAAGCCCGTCAATAGGCCAGTATCTTAATCTAAAATTGGTTAATACTGTTTGTGCACCTGCATGGTATAGTCTCAAATGTTCTTTTCGCAACATTATATTGACAACATGACATTTTGACGGCAACAGTAATGGATGTTTTTGGGAGAATGGAATATTAGCATTTGATAATCTCCCGCCAACACGCATTAGGCCTTTTTTGTCCAAAAAAGGATTTAAGCAACGTAGCTTTTTATTTTTAATTATTTTATCATTTTTCAGACATTCAATTTCTTCAGAAAAATATTTTAGTTGAAGAAATTTTATTATGAACCACAATGATTCTTGTAATTCATCAACACTAAGCGAACCAAAATTTCTTTCACCTATTGGACATCTCAAGTTATGACGAAACCTTAAACAGAATGCAATAACACGTTGCAACCTATAAAAATCTGAATATTTTTCTAAAATTTTATGCAATTGACTTTCACAATGTGCTTTGGACACTGCACTTAAAACCGTTTTTCTCTGCTCTGGAAGATTTTCAAGAACGAGATTAGTTTTAAAGGAATCAAGATTAAAATTTGGATTACTTAAATGATGAGGACCATTCCACCATTGTAACTCTTGGGCTGAAAGACCCCTGGACACATAATCACTTGGATTATCCTTCGTAGGTATATACCTCCAGACACAGTTAGAACTATTTTCTTGTATGATGGAAACACGATTTGCAACGAAAATGTTCCATCTTCCTGGATGTGACTGCAACCATGCCAGTGAAACTTTCGAATCTGTCCACAGGTTAACAGAGTCAATTCTGAAAGAGTCTTTAAAAATATTTACAATTCTTTTTGTAGTTTGGGCTAACAGCAAACAACCACAGAGTTCTAGCCGAGGAATACTACCCAAGATGGCGTCCGAGACGGACGTTGTTCAAGATTGCTCTGACAAAAAGTGTTTTTACTGCTCAAAGAAAGTTAAAGGAAAAGTAAAATGTGTTCTGTGTGATGGTTTTTATCATAGTCAGTGCATTATAAAAAATCCCGGTGTGAAAATTGTGGGTATCAACGAAATAAACTGCACAAATTGCATCAATGAAGAAGATCTGACAGGCTTGACAACTGCCGATATTGTTAAATTGTGTTTTAAAAATAGTGGACTTTTAAACAACATCGTCTTCCAATTACAAGAAAATAACGACCTTCTTAGGGAGAAAGTTCATTTACTTGAGGAAAAACTGGAAAAATTTGAGGAAAAATTAGCTAAGCCGAAAATGCTAGAAGAGGTTAGGTTTATCTCCGCAGCCTCCGCCCCCGCAGGAACTTGCCCCACAAGTCAAACTTCAACAAAATCATCAAATGTCAAAGTCATCATCAGTGACGTCAACACCAAGGAAATATCAAATATCAAGGCACCGGTTCCATGCGTCGTCACAAGTGGTACTGCAATTATGGTAGCAGATGCCAAAAATGATGCTGCAGAACCTGACATTGAATACCGAAGA